GTAAGTAAGACGAAGAAATAGATAAGTAAAGCAGGAGAGAGAGAGAAAGGAAGAAAGAGAGGGAGAGAGAGAGAGAGAGTTAAGAAAGAGAGAGAGAGAAAAGAATGAGAGAGAGAAAGGAAGAAAGAGAGGGAGAGAGAGAGAGAGAGTTAAGAAAGAGAGAGAGAGAGAATAGAAAGAGAGAGAAAAAAGAAAGAGAGAGAGAGAGAAAGGAAGAAAGAGAGAGAGAAAAAAGAAAGAGAGAGAGAGAGAAAGGAAGAAAGAGAGAGAGAATAAAGAAAGAGAGAGAGAGAAAGAAAAGAAGAAGAAAGACAGAGAGAGGGAGAAGGAGAGAGAGAGAGAGAGAGAGAGAGAGAGAGAGAGAGAGAGAGAGAGAGAGAGAGAGAGAGAGAGAGAGAGAGAGAAAGGAAGAAAGAGAGAGAGAGAGATTAAGGAAGAAAGCAAAAGAGGGCATGAAGTCTATCCGGGAAATTATGGGATAAAACGTAAAATTATGCAAATTAGGGTAAAAATTATGTATGTAATTTATGGGGTAAATCCTAACTCAACTAAATAACACCTAATATTATAGTACTATTCTACTATAATACTATAATACTATAATACTATAATACTATAATACTATAATACTATAATACTATAATACTATAATACTATAATACTATAATACTATACTACTATACAACTATAATACTATAATACTATAATACTATACTCTATACCACTATAATACTATATACTACTATAATACTACACTACTATAAAACTATATACTAGCTAGTATATATATGCTTAGTATGTATATATATATAGTATATATGCCTGGCTAGTATATATGCCATATATATATATATATATATATATATATATATATATATATATATATATATATAGTATATATATTTATATATATTATATAAACCTAGCTAGTATATATATGCCTAGTATATATATATAGTATATATGCCTCAAATCGACAAACTAGATTTCATAGTCCCGATAGCATTATAGAAGATTTTATAAAACTATAGGTTAGGTTAACCCCTTTGTTGCCGGGTGACGCCGATCGGCTTGCAAACGGTTACCGGTTGACTCATCCCCAAGTTAACTCGTCCCATCCTAAAGTCAACTCGTCCCCAATTGAAAGTTGACTCGTCCCCCTTTCGAAGTTGTCCCCTCCCCATTCCCTATATGAGGAATAAGGGGCTGTACCTTGCTTGTAATGCTCTTGTGGTTGTCCGAAACTGTTTAGGGAACTGGTGTTTTTCCGTTCCAATCAGAAAAACACCTATAACCTAACCTAACCTAACCTAACCTAACCTGACAATCAGTTTATCCAATAGGGCACGGGGACGAGTTAACTTATTGGCGGGGACGAGTTAACCATTTATCCTGGGGACGAGTCGACCCATGGAACTAGGGGACGAGTTAACTTGGGTGACGAGTTAACCGGATACGTTGCAAACAAACCGCTCGAAAGCTGGCGTGCAGCCGAACGCGACGGCGGCGGCGAGCCAGTGATTCGGGCTGATGTCCCCTACTTACGCGTTCAAAGTCGGCGCCCCGTCTTTGTTTGCTAGAGCATAGAGTTTGTTTTTTTTTGTTTTTTTTTTGTTTTGTACACCGGGCGTCATTGGGTTAAAACTGAAAGAATAAACTATAAAACTATATAAAACTTATAAGACTATAGGTGGTAGTATATATGCCTAGCCAGGGGGGGGGGGGGAGGTAGCATAAGAATAAGAATAAACGTAAACTTAAAGAAAGGAGGAAATATGAAGAAAACGACAGCGAAGAGGTTAGTAATACCAATAAATAAATAAATGTATGAATAGACAAGTAAAGCAGGAAAGAGAGAGAGAGAGAGGGAGAAAGATAGAAAAGAAAAAGAAAGAGAGAGAGAGAGAGAGAAAGGAAGAAGGAGAGAGAGAGCGAGAGAGAGAAAGAGCAAAGAAAAAGAAAGAGAGAGAGAGAAAGAGAAAAGAAAAAGAATGAGAGAGAGAAAAAGGAAGAAAGAGAGAGAAAGAGAAAGGAAAAAGAAAGAGAGAGAGAGAGAAAGAGAGAAGATAAAGAATGAGAGAGAGAAAAAGGAAGAAAGAGAGAGAAAGAGAAAAGAAAAAGAAAGAGAAAAGAAAAGAAAGGGAGAGAAAGACCCTTAATATCACGTTAAAATAAGAAGAAATAAAAATTAGATAAATTTTATCCTATAAATGTATAATGAATCAGATTTTATATTTATTTTTTGAATAATTATCTTGTGTTTCGAATTTTGTATTTTGATCTTGTGTTTATTTATAAATTTGTTTATTCCTGTCATTTTATTTATCTCATATTTATATTTATTTGTTTATTTGTTTATTTGCTTATTTGCCATCTTGGCCTCGTATCTTTTTATCTATTTCTTTACATATTTTTTTATCTATTCGTTTACTTTTATTTTATAATGGGTGTTTGTTGCCGCGCCGGTTGGTGCTTTGGCAAAGAGCAACGAAACCGTGCC